AGTTGTATAATTTTGGTACAGGAATGAACTGTCTTTTCCTCTCTGCATTTTTCACATTTTAGTACTAGAGATGGGAAAAGGAGGAGATAACACACAACTAATGTAACACGGGAAATAAAGTCTGTGGTGAAAAAAATGTCAGATAACTTCATTAAAATTCCTTTAGTATGCAAGAGGAAGGATATATATAGTACTGGCAAAGGAAAGAATACAAAATAAAGACAAATTAGTGTTAATTTTGCTGATATTCCCTTATAATCACATGACTAGGGGCTTCTCTAAATGTCATCTACCTCTTAGTCTTTACTTCAGTTCTATGTACTTCAGGCTATGTGAAAAAAAAAAAAAAAAAAAAAAAAAAAAAAAAAAAAAAAAAAAAAAAAAGGAGAAAATGCATTTTGTTATTTCAACATTTGCATCTATCTGGTTATAAATTTTACATTCACTGTATGAATTCTTTCTCTTTTCAGTTTTTCCTACAGTTGTGGCTTCTAGTACTTCAGTAAAAGGTTGGTCTAACACAGAGCTAGATAGTCTGGAAGTACACAGTGACAGCTTTTTCCAACCAAAATTTTAAGCCAAGAAACTGGAAGTTTCCAAGGAACGTGTCTTCAATCATTCACAAGAATGTGTGGAAGAGCATCTAATGGAAATTAGTTGTTTGGCTACAGAGGTCTTTACAATTTCCTTAGCTTTTGGTCTTGGTTCCCAGGCTCTCTGACTTTGAGCCCACATCAGGAGCTATGCCTGCAATAACTGTAGATATCTAGGACTTTTCTCTTTCAGGGTCTTATCTTGAAAAGTGGTCACAACTTAAAGGCCAGTTAGGAACAATTCCTAGTTCATGTCAATTTTATGCCTATGTCCAGAAATTGTACAGAAGAGTACTTGGCTGCCTGGGGCCAAAAGTCATACCAACAATCACTCTAACAGTTCAATACAATAGCTAGTTGACTTCTAGTGCCTGGTAGTGGCACTATTTAATGTTATAATAAACAAGTAGCCTGATAAATGGGCATTGGATATACAGGAGAAAGCCCGAAGTCTCAGTTTCATGTAATGAGCCCGTGCTTGCTGAATCTTCCAGTTTACAGCATTTGTTTTTGGAAAGAAAACTGGTTGATTGGCTATTTTTTTCCAATCACGCTTTTAAAATAATATGAAGGACATTTGTACTTAGGAGTACTGAAATACTTCTAGTATGTGAATACAACACTTTTGGTATCATTGCTTACACTTACTAACATTACTTACAAAATCTGTGCAAGGGCATCTGTACATTTGCCCTCAGGACTGAACTGTCAAATTACTTAAGCTGCAGACCTATGAGCAAGAATGGTTGATACAACCCCTTCAGAACTGGAGGATTTATGCACCAGAGAATTCTTGGTCACCACTAGAGGAGTTGGGTCACTGCCTAGAGGAATTAGGCAGCCTACATTAGGAAAGGGTAATGGGAGAAAAGTAATCATGCTGTGCTGAGTTGCTCTAACAGTTCAATTTATGTAGCCACTGAATACATTTACTGTTCTTTCTAAATGGATTGCATATTGTTATTATATTTTTAAGGTTTTTTTTTCTTTTTTTTTTTCATTCATTGCTAGGCACTTTCCGATATAATTAGAAACACAAACACTATGTTTGAAATCAGACATATTGTGCATATGACACAAAATATTGAATGAAGTCTAGGTCTCACACCTTAACTATACTTTCCTGAACATACAGAACTGAAGTTACATTTCTTTTAATACAGGAAGTAATCTTATTTGACTCTGAAAGCACAGAAAGAGCGGACTACTGCATCCCAATCGTTTGCAGTTACTTTCCTATTCATTATGATCTCCTAATATTTTGAATTTCAGCACTGATTTTATCTTATTCTGTAGGTGAACATTTATAGCATTTGATGAGCAAATAATGTGAGAGTCCCTGGGCTATTCTACACATACAGGAGTATGAATCTCTGTGCTTTGTCAAGTTGTCTAGTTCATATTCCTCTACAATTGTAGTAAATAATTTTACAGCATAAGGAGTGATATCTGTCTGCATTCCTCAGGGTGGAATTATTAGTGCAGGTGTATCTCTGTGCTGTAGCCAACAAATTTGTTTGACACATGGTTTATGACCTACTGGATGTAAATGTCTGCTGTGAAACTAATGACGGATGAAGCAAGAGAACAAGTTATCTCACAAGATTTCCAGTTGAGCTAGAAATAATCTGTCCTGTGAAATGTTGACATGTTCACTTCTAATCTCAGTTAGAAAATTGAGGTTGGAGTAGATAGTGCTGAAAAATAATGGGGTGAAAATCCGTTCTAACTTTTCAGACCATTTCCTGCATACATCCTTAACTTGCTACAGAGTGCTTAGAGAGTTTCAGAGATATTCATTCAGTTTCATTTTAAGACAAAATCCCCATGTGTACAGCTTTACTACAAAATATTTCTTGTGTTAAAGAGAAATTCTGGCTATTACTGTTTGTGTAACATACTGTTTACTGTTTCACTGTTTTCCGCTAATATCTTTAGAGATTTATTTAAGAGCAAGGGAATCATAACTGATTCTCTGTTTTCTTAAAATGTTACTTTTCCAACAGCAATTGATTAAAATAAATCAAACACATAGCAAACAGCCCAAGGTCTTCCATACTACTTGTCTTTGTTAAAAGTAGATGCCATAGACCTGCAAAGGTATGTCTACAAGAGTAATCATCAAAACAGCATTGATCTCTTCGAAAAGGGTGTGAACAAGTTTTGAAAGCTCTTTAATGTTCGTGTACCTAAGACTAATAACCCGGCATGTGGCTCTGAAAAAGAAGCAGATGATAGACACTGAAGGTATATGAAGATGAATCCTACAGCCTGAGGGATTTTCCAAGAATGGATTACAATTCTACCTTTTTATTTTCTCTCTAGAATCTGTCCTAGTTTTAGTAGTAGATGTTAATAGTCAATAAAGCCAATGACCTTAAAGCTGACATATTAAAATAGTGTGGAAAGGTCTAATTATTGTAAAGGTCACAAGATTAAATTTTCATTCCAATTTTTTTTATTTCCAGGAGCCAATGGAAATGTAGAACAGCTATCAAAATTCCCCTGTGACTTTCAATAAATGCTTGATGTTTACTTTTTTTGGGCCAACATTAGAATTTATATTCGTTTAAATATGGGAATCATATCTGAATTTTTAACAACCATGAAAGTGGAAGGTTTATATATGCTTAATAAAGCAATTGCTTAAAATTAATGGCAGGAAAGCATTTCAGAAAGAATGAAAACTGTCTCCAATATGCATCTTAATTGGGAGAGACAACTGAAACAACAAATGTAATGTTTTGTGGAAGAATATGATCTAAGATTAATACATTCTATAATATAGTAGAATGAAGTACTGTTAGATTAATTTCAAAATGTTTTTTGTGGAGAAGATTTTACCAAATATACATAAATTTTATAGGAAACTTCTCATTTCAGAGCACATAATTTTAAATATGTGTTAATTTATCTAAAAAATTGAATTTAAATAGAAAATGCATTTAAAATTATTTTAATGTTTGAAGCATAATACTTCCAATGGAAAGATCTCTGCTTTCAAAAAATCTGATGAACATTTTTCAGTGTGTCTGATTACTAGAAAATATCGGATGGATATTTTTTTCCTACTTTGCGCAAACTGAAATTATCCAGTCCATCAGTCTCAGGCTTTTATTTCAGGTTTTGAGGTAGAGAATACCATGAATGAATAAGTTTGGTTTTTTTAGTGTCATTGCACTGTGTAGTGATGCTTTCTCATTCAACACCTCTGTTTTCTTTACTTTTCCCCCTGCTACTTTCATGTTTGGATTAAGCACAGGCTTTACAAGAACATGTGCTTTCTCAAAAGTCTTTATTGCTACGTGATTCCATGGTAGATGGAATATATTGTTCTGTCACAGCAATTTAACACTGAAATAACTCTTCTGATTTCCTGATTTTGTTGAATGTTACCCTTTCATATATCAGTGAAATCAAGCAGAGTTGCAGCTTTAACATCACTCAAATGGCATGAAATTTGTTTCCTGATTAGAAATTTTTTTTTTCCATGAAATTTGTTGTAAAGTTGACTGTACAACACCCATGTGCTTTTTAATACAGATTTGTATTTATATTGACAGCTCAGGCAGAGCATTCTTCACTAAAAGGCCTGTCTGCATTTATTTCTCAATAGGTAATTATTACTAGCATTCAAAATGATGGATGTATATTTCCTGGTGTGTTTCTGAATATGATTCAAAAGAAGGGAAGTATTTGAGATCCAGTGTGACTAATGTATTGCATCATGTATTTTTACATTTCAATGATAAGTATACAGGCATAATATAAATGAACTCAATATATATATATATGTACAAGATTTCTAGTGTTGAGAATTATAGGTACTTATCTAAGGTAAGGTATGTGCAAGAACAGATACTCTTTTGACCCACTAAAATTTTAAAGACAGTATGCTTGGATGCTCAGAAGAACAGAAAATATATTTATTTGGGTTAGGAAATGCATGTTATTTTATTTAATTTTGAAAACTCTCTTTTTGAGTAGATAATGAAGTGCCAGTTAAAGATCAATTTGCATTTTGCCAGACCTCAAAGAACAACTCTCTAGAACCACTGCAGCCCTTCACAACTGTATTTTAAGTTCATCATTTGTCTCTACATTTAAGTTACCATTCAAGTTTCTGTAATAGCTTCAGAAGTCCTCATCTTCACGAGTAGAAACTTATGTTAGTAAAAAATGTCATTTCTCTCCTACCAGTAAATGACATCTTTCCTAAAATCCTCAGGCATTATAGTAAGAATATTTAGGAAAGTTTTATAGTATCAATTTAAAAGTGGTAAAAACTAGATAGCTATTTTACATATGCTGTCCATTTTCAGTGTCTATTAATCATTTCCAGTGCCTTTGCAAAGTGTTTCCACCTTCCAAACCTCTGGCTTACGGACTTCAAATTTTTGCTTTCAGATATCAACATGGCAGGAGAACCAAAACCATACAGACCAAAACCTGGCAACAAACGTCCACTTTCAGCACTTTACAGGTAAGTTAGATTTCACCCTTATCATGATACAAGTCAGATTCATTACAATAATTATGGTAAACTGAAATGTTTATTTTGTTTAATTTTTCCAAAGGTATCCAGCAATGCAACTGTGTAGCACATGAGATAGACAAAGGCGTCTATCCCCATTATGGTTTGATTTCATATGAAATATAATCAAGCTCTTGTACACGCCAAAAGTTTCTGAATGTGAGCAAAAGAATCAGTCTGACACTATGTGCATTTATTGAATCTACCCAGAGTAGTGTTCTAACTTCCAGAAATAAAGACTGTCTATTTGGTGCTCGTAGCAAAAAAACCTAAATGGCACCAACAAAGAATTGGCCTAGCAAAATTCCTGACTGGTACTTAGATGAGATTATCACAGTATGTAAATAATGCCCCTCTTTTGATTAGAAAAACAAATTCCCTCGACTTTTTCTGAAGTGAAAATGGAAACAACAGAGAAGACAAGTAGATTTAAGGCCCACATAAAAATGCAGCATTTAACAAAATTATTTTATACGAAGTATACGATAAAATTATAAAACTGTTGTTTACAAACACTACTGACAGAAATACCAGTGGGGTGTTTTGTGAACTGTTTATTAAAGTCCTCACTTCTGGAACTACAATCCATAATTCATTTGGCTCTGTTTTTAAAAAAGAGTGTTATTTCAATTTTTAATCCTTATGCCTTATTGCCTGACTGTGGCTGTTCTTGTCTCTTTGTATTTGTTGGTGAAATAACTAATAATTTGAAAGCAAAACCACTGATTTCTCATTGATATGTGTATCAAGGGTGAGAACCAATGTCTATCAAGACTGGAATTTATCTTCATGTGTTCAGGAAGGCACTGATAGTGTCTTTTTCCTATTCCCAGATGATTTTTTTTTCATACAGCTTGTACAAGCATGAAGAAATCCCTACCTTTATTAAAAAAAATAATTAAAAATATCAAACAATTAAACATTGTTAGGGAGATTGATAGACAGACATGCACAAGACACCACTGCTCAATAAACCTCACTTCCCTTAGAAGTAGGAAAAACTTCAGATCCATGAAAGGAGTTAAGGTTAATTTCTTCCATGGCTGAAATGCAGGTAGATGAGAGTGTCATGTCGGTGGCCAAATGAGAGACACTCATATTGGACCTTTTAAAGCCTGGCTTGATCTGAAACTATCATATGGAAATTCAAGGGTGGGATAAGTTACCCTTAACTGAAGCAATAGGGAAATTACTTTTGGGGAAAATAAACTCTGTTTTATCATTACTCTCATTTGCAACCCATTAATTTCTGTAGGTGTAACTGTAACTTCTGTAGTCATGTGTGACTGTGTTACTGTGTCCCTCTGTATTTCAAAAGATGTTTGAAGAAGTTATGTGGTTTCTGATATCTATATACCGTTCCACCTCCAAGCTTTTGAATGGTTTCTCATAAATGTTCTACAGACAAGACAGTGATAAGTCACTGTGGGAAGTTCTGACAGATCTTTAGAAACAAAAAATGATATTTGGTTGTATCATCTTATGGATCTCTCACAGACTATTTTTCTAGTTTCTTAGATTACATTAGGGTTTTTTTGTTTGTTTGTTTGTTTGTTTTTAATATAACTAGCAAAAGTCTTCACCTGAAGATAATGGAGAAGTTTTGTTATCCCACTATCTGTTAGCATATTAATATGGGAGAATGTTAATGGCTTATAAAATTATTGGCAAAGTCAGTATTTACTATGTCTTCATCGTACTGGGGACAGCTGGGATGGAGTTATCTTTCTTCTTAGGCCCCCTTATATTACTGCTTTGGATTTGTCACTAAAACACATCATATTTTTGACTATTTCTGCACAATAATTGACCAGCATCAAGGCTTTCACTTTTTCCCACTGTGCCTTTGCTGTGAGCAGGCTGAGGGTGGCAAAGTACAGGGAAGGAACACTGTGGGCTCAAACTGACCAAAGGGATATTCTATATTATATCAAGTAGTTTCCAGAAATAAAAAATGGGGCATTTTGTCTTCCAATGTACCTATTGCTTTGTTGATCAGCCAATCTGATGTTTAGGCAATGGTCTGCCTGTGGCGGGTGAAAGGTAATTTTTTGCATCACTTGTTCTTATTCCCTTCCTTTCTTCCTTTATTAAACTGCATTTATCAAAGTCCATGAGATTTCTTTGATTTTACTCTTCCTATTCTTTCCAGCATCTAAAGGAAACAATAGGAAATGGGGGTGGGGAGTCAGATATTGACTGTATGGATGTTAAGCTATCAGCCAGGGCCAACACACAGCAAACCTGGAGATATTTAAGTGGAAAAACTGTTACCTTAGATTTTATTTGACAATGAACATTGGTTAAAAATTAACAAAATATTCACTCTGAAAAAGGAGGACTGTAAGAAGTAGAAAAAGAACAGTGGATTTCAGGAAGGACCGACTTCAATGAGCTCAAGATATGATAAGTGGGATCTCTGGGAAAGAAATGTTAATAATAAAAGAAGTGCATTAAAAATTGCATATGCTGTGCATAAGGTAGAGAAAAAATAGGAGTATAATAAAGAAAAATATGTAAGTATCAAGATCTTTTAACATCCTCTAAAGTGAAAAGAAATTGCACAAAATGTGAAAAAAAGATAACGTGACTATGAGTGAGTGAAAAAGAAAATCAGAATCATAGAATGTGTTTGGAGGAGACCTTAAAAATCCTCTAGTTCCAACCTCCTGCTATGGGCAGGATTACCGGCCACTAGATCAAGTTGCCCAGATCATCCAACATGGCCTTGGACACCTTCAGGGATAGGGTATTCATAACTACTCGGAGCAGTGCCTCACCATTCTCTGAGTGAAAAATTTCCTTCTATCATTGCCCCTTGTTCTGTCACTATCAGTCCATGTAAAAAGTCCCTCCTGATTATTAACTTCTTTTAAGTACTAGAAAGACACAGTGAGGCCTTCTCTTCTCTAGGCTGAACAAGTCCAGCTGCTTCTTTTGATGCAGCCCAGGATACAGTTGGCTCTCCAGGATGCAACTGCACACTATTAGCTTGCATCGTGCTTTTCAGCCACCAGGACCCCTAAATCCTTCTCCATATGTATCTCTTTGTTAGTTCTTCCCCCTTGTCTGTAGACTAATCTCAGAGTGCTGCGACCCAAGTGCAACACCTCGCACTTGACCTTGCAGAACCTAATTAGGTTCATGTGGTTCACCCACTTTTCAAATTTGTCCAGGTCTCTTTGGGTGGCATTGTTTCCTTCTGTCATACTGACTGCACCACTCAGTTCAGCTCCATGAGTGTGGTGGCTTTTCTCTAACAGGAAACCAGAATGCCTAAGGAAAATGAAGGTATAGAATACAACAAAAAGACTGGTTTTAGAGTAACTTCTATATAATTTTATATAAATCTGTAACTTTTTTACCATGCTGTAAGAAAGGTGAGAAAATAGTAAACCATACAGGAAAGGCTTCTTTTGCATTAGCAAAAAGTTAGTTGACAAGCTATTTCAGAGAATCAATTTTAGCCAGAGGGATGGAATCAAAGAATTGGATTAACCAATATGTGAATGTGAATGTGAATGTGAATGTGAATGTGAATGTGAATGTGAATGTGAATGTGAATGGAAATGTTATGATGAAATTCACCCTAAAGACTGTAATGAACTAGCTGAATTTGTGTGTGAACTATTATTGATTGTTTTCAAACTTATGGAGGTCACATAAGGTAGAATAACAGCAGGTATTGACAGGTGTACACCTATATTTTAAGAAGAGGAGAAACCGTAAAATGATCAGATCAGCCCAGCTTTGGTTCCCAAATATGCAGTAGGAAAACAAAACAACAACAACAAAAAAAACCAGAAACAAAATTTGTCAACACCTACAGGACAGTAAGATGGTAAAAAGGAAAAAAAATCCATCTGCATTATCAGGAGGAAATGATGTTGGACCAAAATAATTTCTTTCTTTAATAAGTCAGTAGATATAGTGTGTAAAGAGGAAACAATAGATGTGCTGTACGGTCATTTAACAAACTTTAACTCTGGCCCTACGCTATCTGCAGAAACATGTTCAAGAAACTTTTTGTTGTCCTGAACAGAACTGTCCAGCTTCAATCCCAGTTTATCTTTGGCTGCACAGATTTTCTCCCTGCAGAGAACATCTCTCTCATGTAATCTGACCTCTCTTCTAATGGCCATAAACTTTCCACCTAAGCTCAGAAGATCCCTGTTCAGCCAAGCTGACTTTCTGCATCTCCCAGTCCTAACACTTTGGTATTGATTGTTCCTGTGATGGTAAGAGGTGATACTTAAAAAGTGAACAGCGCTGATGAACAGCAATATTTTCAAAAACAGAATCAGGCAATTCCTTGAGCAGCCTGGAATCCACTCTCCCTTTTTTCTTCCTGTCATCAAAGGTTTTAAACTCAACTACTTCATAGTCACTGAGGCTAGGATGGCCACCAAATGCTACTTCACTCACAAGACCTTCTCTTTACAAGCAACAAATCCAGGAGGATGCCTTTTCTTGTTGTCTCTCTTATGGATTGTACCAAGAGGTTACCATCAGTGTGCTTTCTGGACCTGTTTGTGCCAGCAATGTGGTATTTTCACATCTGGGATGGTTTTTTTTTTTTCTCTCTTTGGAGGAAGACACATGGAAACATTCTGAATATTTTGAATAGTTGATAAAATATGAGAAGAAAACAGAAACAGGTATGTAGACACACATCTGTGATCATAACAACCGATTCTTTACTGATTTGGGATCTGATGGGGTTAAAAAAGTTAACTGATTTTGATAGTATTTCAGATACATCTTTTGTCCTTCAAGCGTGACTCTAAGAGCTTGTGTGTCGTGTATTTTGATATGTAGCATACTTTACTATTTTTGCATACTAAATCCAAATTTCTCAGTGTCCAACTTTTCCATTTTATGCCATTTGTGTTTAGGCTCTCAATCCTTCCATCCCTCATCTTGTAGAACTAAAATAACTAAAAAAATAA